AGGTTTGTATAGACTTGGTTTGGGCTGAACAGTTGCGAGGGAGAAATGGTGGTCGTGTTGGTGCTTTTAGCTTTGACCGTGCAAGTGCCCTGGCAGAGCAGCTTGAGGCAGCTGGGCATGAACCCCTTGATTCTCTTGTACAATTATGGTACTTGGAAAAACTGGAGTTGGTAAAAGTGCAACCATTAATTCCATATTTGATGAAGTTAAGTTCAGCACTGATGCTTTTCAAACAGGAACAAAGAAAGTTCAGGATGTTGTGGGTACTGTGCAAGGTATTAGGGTGCGGGTAATTGACACACCGGGCCTTCTGCCATCATGGTCTGATCAACATCAGAATGAAAAGATCCTGCACTCTGTTAAGCGTTTCATTAAAAAAACACCTCCAGATATTGTGTTATATCTTGATCGGTTGGACATGCAAAGTAGGGATTTCAGTGATATGCCCCTCTTGCGCACCATCACTGAGATATTTGGACCATCTATATGGTTTAATGCAATTGTGGTTTTGACTCATGCAGCATCTGCTCCACCTGATGGGCCAAATGGCACTGCTTCCAGTTATGACATGTTTGTCACTCAGCGTTCTCATGTTGTCCAGCAAGCCATCCGTCAGGCAGCTGGGGATATGAGGCTCATGAATCCTGTTTCATTGGTGGAGAATCATTCCGCCTGCAGAACAAATAGGGCTGGCCAGAGAGTGTTGCCAAATGGTCAAGTTTGGAAACCTCATCTGCTGTTGCTCTCCTTTGCATCCAAAATTCTGGCAGAAGCTAATGCTCTTCTAAAGTTACAAGATAGTCCACCTGGGAAGCCTTTTGCCGCTCGATCAAGAGCACCTCCTTTACCATTCCTTCTCTCAACCCTTCTTCAGTCGAGACCACAGGTTAAACTTCCCGAGGAACAATTCAGTGATGAAGATGATATAGACGATGATTTGGATGAATCATCAGATTCTGATGAAGAATCAGAATATGATAGATTGCCTCCATTTAAACGCTTGACAAAGGCCCAGATGGCTAAGCTTTCTAAAGCCCAGGTGAAGGAGTATCTTAATGAGCTAGAATACAGGGAAAAGCTGTTTATGAAGAAACAGTTGAAGGAAGAGAAAAGGAGAAGGAAGATTATGAAGCAAATGGCGGCTGCAACTAAGGATTTGCCAACCGATTTTGGTGACAATGTAGAAGAGGGGAGCAGTGGAGCTGCATCAGTGCCAGTTCCCATGCCAGATCTAGCCCTACCTGCTTCTTTTGATTCTGATAATCCTACTCACCGATATCGTTACCTTGATTCTTCCCAGTGGCTTGTGAGGCCTGTTCTAGAGACTCATGGATGGGATCATGATGTTGGTTATGAAGGTATAAATGTAGAACGACTGTTTGTGGTTAAAGAAAAAGTACCAATCT